TTTTCCCCCCCCCCCCCATTCCGAAAGATTCGGGGACTGTATAAGCGGAGTAGTTCAGAAAAAACCGGAGGAGAATCACGAACCTCCAAAGTGATGGATGAATCTGGCCTAGGCATAGGTTGTACCTGCTGTAGAAATCTAAAATGACCGGGTCTACCGGGCCCAATGTAAAGGGATAAGTGTAAACACTTAGGTATCCCTCGACATAGGTGGTAATGGCCTCTTCGGGGTCGGGGACCACTATGTCTTTATCGGCCCAGTTGCAGTCTTTTCGGACAATAGGGAGGACCTCTTCGGTAATAGAGAAAATGTATCTCGAGACCTCCTCAGTAGCCGGTCGCGAAGCAGAAGGAATTGCTTTCTCGAGAACGGTTTTGGAAGTCTTTGTCGTTCCTTTAGAAAATGAAGATGGAGGAAAATCTGAGAAAAATGAAGAAAGAAAGGAAGTTGAAGGATTAGACTTGTTGGCTTGAGAAGAAGATGGGTAAAAATTCTTGCAAAGGATCTCGAATAGACCGGGGTAAAAGTGCTAACGAGTATTGAAATCCTGAAGGTACGAGGGTAGAAGGTTTGATGTAAAATAAAAATGAACGAAGGAGGGGGTATTTGTAGTAGTTCAGCGGCTTTTCATGTCCAGGGACGGCCGACCGATGGCTGACATGCATTTAATGCCATTATGACTTGACTGACGAGACGTTTCAGATGTTTTGTCGTTTCTGTCACGATGTGTCGAAGTAAGAATCGGAAGCTCATGTTGTTTTTCATCGTTTACTCTCCAAACAACGAGGGAACTATCTGTATATGGGTAAAATCGAGCTCATGGTGCATCCCAACCTCCGACAAGATGAGTCAGGCTCGAGATATGGCGACAAGGGACCGAAATCGAGCCAAAGGTCCCATCGGGCCAGAATCCGGGGGCATGACGCCTACCCTCGAGAATATCGAGGCCATGGTCCCGGAATCGGCCCTAGCCTCGAACAACTTCGAAGAACGTTGTCAGACAATCCAGCATAGCCAATAGAAAGCCGAAATATCTGTGACCGCATATCACGGCGGGGATCTCGACACGTATCGATAAGGAATCGGCAATCAATAAATCAGAAGATTTTTTACCTTTTATTGAATTGTACCTAAAGTAGGACTCCCCTACTATATAAAGGGGGTCTGATAATTCATGAAGGACATTATAACACGCACTCAAAAGCAATACATTATTATTTTTTCTGTCTTTAGTTTTTGTTCTTTTTCATCTGTACCGGTCATGGTGACCCCGGCTCGAGAGTGACTATTTCACTAAGGCTGAAACTATCCAACTCATGTGGTTTGAATTTATTTTTTCTTTGTTTGTTGAATAGTAACTTAATTTATCGCTTTGTATCAAGTTAATTCGCGTATTCTTAAAACTACTTACAAATTTAATTGTTATCCGATTTTGAGGGTAAATAGTTTGGCGCCCACCGTTGGGCGAAGAATAATAGTGACAATTTGATATAAAATCCCGTAACACACCCTATTTTACCCTAATCCTCTTACGCCGCTCCCAGGGAGATTTAGTTTGGTTGTAGTGGAGGCTTTCACCTCAATTGTGTGACGTTTGTGGCCTTCGGATTTGCGGTAAAGGGAAGTCTTTTTCCTTTATTGTTAGTCACCAAAAAGGATTGTTTGTTGATGGCGAAGAAAGAATTCAGATTGCAAAAAATAGTGGGTTAATCCACTGTAATTGCAAAGTAAGCTATTATTCTATAATAAATAATTTCATAAAGGTAAATTTGGTTAGTGCCGTCACTCTAGTTTGCCGTCACCAATAAAGTTGTAAATTTGGAGGTTTAACCTCCATTACGGGTTACTGTTTCGAAAGCCTTGTTATATTTTAATGTTATAATGCATATAGATTAGAAAGTCCACTTTTACGCCACGCAGCTTTGAATTAAGCGGCGAAGGCTTTGTCCTTCGCCATTTGCTGCCAGAAAGGCTCCTTTTAAGTAGCTTTATATTTTGTTTGATTAATTAATAATTACTGGCAGTCTATCAAGTTTAACGAACTCATCTTAAGGCCCACCATAGCTTATTTTGTTTTGAAGACTTATATTTATTTATGTATTTGGAGAACTTAAATTTGAATACAGAAAAGTTATATATATTTTGAGTTAAATAAAGTCAAAGCTTGATGTTGCCAAAGTGACATTTTTTGTGGAGATTTATTTATTTTGGAATATAAAAGGTTGTGTATGTGTAACCTATGTAAATATTGATCGGCCCAAAGGAAGGTCAATGTTTAACAGAATTACATGTGCATCTTATGGTAATAAATGCGTGATAATTATTTGGTTTTATGGATAAAAAATAAATCGGCCCAAAGGAAGATTTATTATTTGACATATTTTTTATTATCAGCGTTTGATTACTACACCAAGATACCACTCAGAAGTTAATATTTTGTCCAAAGATAAATCGGTACCTTTAGATGGGGTTTATCTTTATTCGAATTTATTTTCATTTTAGTTTTAAGTATGTGTGAGCTTATTTTGTTATTTATTGTTCTCCGATTCAGCTAAAATTACTCATGCAAATATTACTGCCAACATCAATTCAATTCCTATATTGAATGGCACTAACTTTAAGTCATGGTAAGAGAATCTCAATATAGTTCTCGGAGTCATGGATCTCGACATTGCGTTAAGGATTTGTTCTCCACCACCTCTTACATATAAGAGTATCTTTATTAAAAATAGGGAGATGGAAAGGTGGGAGAGATCCATGAACATTCAAGGGTATTATGTCCGACAAAATTAAGATAGCTAAAGAATTTATGGTTGAAATTGAAAAAGTATTTGTCAAGAGTGAAAAGGTTAAGATTGGTATATTCTTGACAAGTCTGATTTCAATGAGGTATCAAGGCAAAGGTAACATTAGGGAGTACATCATATAAATGTCTCATCTTGCTTCTAAGTTGGAAGCACTTAAGTTGACCTCTCTAAGGACTTGCTAGTGCATTTGGTTTTGATATCCCTTCCACCACAGTTTAGCTAGCTTAAGGTGAGCTATAATTGTGAGAAAGAGACTTGGTCTCTAAATGAGCTCATCTCAGATTGTGTACAGGAAGAGGATAGACTGCAACAGGAAAAGATAGAAAGTGTTCACTTAGCCGATGTGCCTAAGGAAAACAGGAAGGACAAGAAGAGAGATTAGGTGATATCTCTAAAGGAGAATTAAGAGACTTCTGTCCAATAATATTTTCTATCCCTTTAATTTTTGAAAATTTTTATCCCACTACTAAGGCTACTTTTTCCAATAATGTGAGGTTTTTTGAGGATGTTGAGTTTGTTGGAGGAGGGAGAGTTAAGGACCATTTTTGAAAAGGAACATATTGATATTCCTCTAATTGTTATTGTCAATGCTCGGGAACAACTTTCTATACCTGACATTATTCAAGAAGCAAATTTGTATCAAAGACATTATCGTTCAACATGTCCTTCAAGAAGTAGTTCCCAAAGAACAAACTCTACAACCTTAAGAATAAATTTCAATAAAGAAAATCATCTATGGACTTAAAAAAAGTGTCTCATTAATAGTATTACTAATTTCATCAAGTTATTGTCTCATTTGGTTTCGAGATAAATCTTGTTAATTATTGTATATACCACAAGTTTAGTGGGAGTAAGTATATCTAATATAAGTCCACCCAAAAATTTATGAACACGGTTTTTTGTGCTAACTATTTCCGTCCAAAACGTCTTCATTACAATTCTATGCTGGTCTTCAGTAGATACCAACTTTTTCATAGATATAATATTTTTCTAATCCTCTACATCTCAAGGGAACCAGAAACAGCTGATAAATCGTCCACAGGAGGTCCCCTGAATCCTGATCCCAAAGGAACCAAAACAACTGATAAATTATCGCTGCTGCCTTCTAAAAATGCCTTCTGAATAAGTTGTTGAGCCAATAATGATGGATCTGAATGGTCCTCTACATCATTTAGAAAGTCACAGACTTCCTGGGGAGTTAACCTTTCAGATATTCCATCAGATGCCACCACCAAAAACTCATCCTTTGAAGTTAAAGATAGCCAATCAGTCATCTCTGGATTAGCTATGACGCCATATCTGGAAAAATAGCAGAACATTTGCATTAGCGTTACCATCAATAATACACAAAATTGAACATCAACGTCCGGATCACTACTACTGCAACCAACAATCAAACAACTTATATTCTCAACTTAGAGCCCGTTTGGATTAGCTGATTGTAAATAGTTGATAAGTTTGTAGTGCTGAAAAAAATTTTTAAATGCTGAAACTGATTTTTAAAATAAGCATTTACGTGTTTGGATAGAAGTGCTGAAACTGATAATAAGCAGTTGATGTGTTTGATTAAAAAATGCTGATAAGCTATTCTTTTGTTAAAATGACTAAAATACCCTCGAATCTTTTTCAAAAGATTATAAATTAAAAATTTCTTTGTAAAGAAAAGAATTAATAACGAATATGGAATGAAGAGAAAGTTAAGAAATTTATTTTGGGAAAAGTATTTTGTGAATTAGAAAATATTATTAAGGATAAACTAGTAAAAGTGTTGGTCAAACTAAAAGTGCTTATAAGTTGAAAAGCCATAAGTTAGGGGTGACCGACTTATGACTTATGGCTGATTTTAGCTTATAAGCACTTGGCTTATAAGCACTTTGAGTGTTTACCAAACGCGTAGATAAGCCAAAAGGTGCTTATAAGCCAATTTGACCAGCTTATAAGCTTAGCCAAACACCCTCTTAGTGATGAGCTTTCAAAAAAGCTCGCAATGTTCAGACCTCTGATCCCTATGACTTGCACTTTCTAAGGTTTGCAATACTATATATATATAATTAAGGGGCAAGAAAGAAGAACCTTTGAAAGTGAAATTTTGAAAAGTCATAATAAACGCCACCTATTTAAATGGTAAGGGAGATACAACGATGAAAAGGCAGACTTATTGAAGAAAGTAACTAACACCAATTACGGTAAAAGGAAGCAGTAGTGTACAAAAGCAGTTACTGTTTACAAAGTTGTGACTGTTTGGAAACAGATCAAGAAGGATAAAAAATAAAATCATATTAGAATAAAGATGGGGAATGGTGTAAAGACCAAACTATGGTTACATCAATGGCGTGATAACCTCTCCTTGATGGAGATTTTCCATACTTATCCAGAACTGCAAAGGATAAGGAATATTATGGTGCAGATTGTACACGTCATGGTGGACAGTATATAAAATTCAAGAGGAATTTAATTGATTAGGAAATTGATAAGGTCAATCTATTGTTGGAAAGACTAGAAAATTTGATGATCCACAAAGATATGGCAGATTATTAGCTTCGGGAATGGGAAATTCTCCGTAGATTCATGCTACAGGTTGTTGATAAAGCAAAATACCACGAACAAGATACAGTGGCTTGAAAAATGTTGTGGAGAATAAGAGCACAGCCCAAAGTGGCTTGTTTCAGAAGAACTACAGTACATAATGCATGCCTAACATAAGATAATTTGCAGAGAAGACGGTTCATATTATATAGCAGGTTTTGTTGTTGCAAATTCTTAATGGAGACTAAAGCACCTCTTTCTACACTGCAGTAAAACCTGCAGCTTTGAAGCTTTGTACAAAATACATTGCAAGAAGCTTGAGAGACGCATTATGTAGCAGGCAAAGAAAAAAGACAAGGAAGATACAGAGACTAGGAGCCTGTTTGGCATGGAGAGTAGCCGTTTGTGTTTGGCCAATTCGTTAGACAAATATTTTTTCAATATTTGATAAACAGATTGTGTCCAATCTCTTCAAAAAGTGTTTTTCGGTATCAAATTATGAAAACAGATAATGCCAAGGTTCATTCTACAATTAGTATTATTTAAACAGAGAAATGGTTTTAAATAATAATTATGAAAGATTATAATTATGTTTTATAAATTTAATTAAAATATAAAATATATGATAAATGTTTTAACCAACACAAATATATTGAAACAATGAGGAAGAGAAGAGACAGTAGAAAAAAAAAAGGAAAAAAAGAGGAAAAGAGAGTTGTATTTATAGTTGAGAGACATATAGATTATATTAACGAGGGATAGTTTGGTAAATATAAATTTTTGGTAAGGATATATTTGTCTTGAAAAAATAAATTTCTGCTTCTAGAGAGAGCCGAGAAGCCATAATTTGTAGGTTTTTCCCCACATGCAGAAAAACTGTTTCAGCCGCTACTCAAAAGTACATTTGAGATTTGACCAAACCCCTCAAATCTAAAAAATAAGCACTTCTTTGAAGAAGATAAATTGCTTTTGGCTCCCGGAAGCTTGGCCGAACAGGCTATAATTTGGCAAACAACTCTCCTTTTGTCATTTATGGACAATTTGGACAGATAGAAATCACATATGTTTTTGATGGAATAGAGGAGAATACAACTAGTGTGAAATACAAAAGTATCCTAAACTTTTCTTTGGTGTAAGCTGGAAGTGATGACATTCAGGATTTAATTGACTCCCTAGAGGTATAAAGGGGTCGATCATGTCCTCCAACGCGCTCCATTTAGCACCATCCTGGTGTTTGTATTATTACTAAAATTTACTCATAAAAAAAGGCTTGCAAGTCAGCAAGCAAGCAGCTCACAAGCCACGCCTAGTCTATTTTCACCCCTATACTCGCAAGTATTCCTATTTTGTGTAACTAGTCAATATTATAACAATAAAACTTTAATATAGTAGACATCAGCATAAAGATATTAACATGTTATGTGCATCAAATACACACACTTATACAATCATGAAACAGGATCTGCAAAACATTGAAAAGATTCAAGAAGTTGTACCTTTTCAAAGGAACATCACCAATAGCTCGAGTCATGGGAAAGTGGCCCATGAGGAGAGGAACATAATTAGGGATAAATTTTAATACACCTCCAGAAGCTTCAATCCTAGCCCTCTCGTCCAACCTATGTGCATTATGATCTCTCGTCAACTCCTTGGCGAGAAGACCAGCCAAAGAAGCAGCACCTACACAGTGATGTCTCAGAACACAAATCAGAATATCATATTAACATCTAAAATTTCAGCGGCAGTAGTTGTAACCTGCAATACTTAAATTATGCTAAAAACACAAACATCTAGAGTCTTGGCAATAGGATATTTGAGAAACTATAATGTACAGTATCATCTGATCCCTGGGGATGACAGTAGTACTACTACCACCAGTAATAAGCATGGAAATATAACCAGATGTCCCTAAACCTTTTTAAGCATCAAAAGGAACAGAAGACCTGAAATATATAGAGCTTACAAGGCGCACCCAGACACCAAAAGGCAAAGGCAATCAACAACTAAAAAGATCTGCCAGTCTGCTATTAACTTCAACTTGTCTTCTTTTTTTCCCTTTCAGTGGCTTTCTGCAATTTCTTAACGTCTATCTTCGGCTTCTTTCTCTATTTCATTTTTGGGCCCCTATTACTCAATTAGTTACTGGTTGAAAGCGTAAAACAGTGATCTAAAGGTTTTTTTTTTATCCGAGAAATCCCCAAAGGCCAATGACGCAAAGTTCGAAACTAGGTAAATAATGGGCCACCCCTCTATCCTTCTCCACTTAACTACCAAGCTTTTCCCTACTACAGAATTAGAACCTATGACATGCTTTAATACGGTCCTTCTCCATATAAGCCATATTGGGGTGTTACTATTTTTCTAGGGAAACTTAAAGATTTCGTTCAAAAATTACAAACAGAATTATGAAAAAGAAAAAGGAAAAAACAAGGAAAACAGAGAAGTATCAAAATCATAATAATGCCTTTGAATAGAAGGGCATAACAACAGAAGAGAAGAAAATGTCGCCCTCACCAGCTTTGTGTGATTTTTTTTTCTGAGAGCAAAGAAAAGCCTTTGAATCGCCAACATTTGCAACTAAAACATGATTGTTATATATGAGTGCAACAACTGCCGTAGATCCCGAATAAAGATGATATTTGAAAGCAACCTAAAGAATGTGAACAACCAAGTCATTAAAAAATAAATAAAATAAAAAATCAAAATCGCCAAAGAAGAAAAAATTGGAGAAGTTGTGTCCTTGCCTCCGAGAATTCTGCATCAATATCCTCAATAGTTGTTACCAATGATGATTTTAGTAATTCCTTCAAGTTAGAAGATTGTTCAGTACTGTTCCTGAGCTTAAGCAGAAACTTATCCAAAAAGATATTTGAAGCCATCTCACTAGCAGCCGATCCAATATGACCATCAAAGACTGCCACCGCCCCAACCCTCACCTCTTCAAGTCCGTCAGGCCCTACATCATTAGGAATAGCATAGACTTAGTCAAGTGTCTCAGTTCACTTGCCTATCTCAGCTCATACACCAATTATTGTTGGGTAATGTCCACCAAGTGTGTGTTTGGAAGTGGTATATGCATAATAATAAATTAAGCTAATTAAGAAAACAAAACAACTGCAAATAAAAATATATAGTGTACGTTACCAAACAAAGGAATCTTAAGATTAAGGTCACATGTTACTCGATCCTCCTGGTGTGACCTTATTCCTTCCGACGATGCGAAGTGACAATTTTGAGTTGGAATCGACGTTGTTGCGTTTGGAATAGAATGCAACAATCTTAATATTTGTTCAACAATCTTTTCTTCAGATTCAGGTTCAAATTCAGGCTCGGACTTAGCAACCTTAAGGTTCGTCAAAATCCCAACGACGCAGGCAATAAAAAATACAAATATGACAATACTCCTTGTATCCCAAGCCCTGATCTGTTGCTTCTTATCTATGCCGCTGGAAGAAGGAAAAATAAAACCGAAAACAAAGATGAGCTTTTTACTCTTTTTTTCTTCTTCAAATTTTCAAAAACTATATTGCATAAAAAAAAAGAAATATTACCGATGTCGGGCCATCTCGATCAGCGAAAATAGGAAGAAAACGGCAGGACTTGTAATTGCCAATTGGAGATGATGTTGTACTAAAGGGACGAGAGAGAAAACCAGAAGTTTTGGACCGGGACACGCTTTTTACGCGAAATACCATTATACACCACCCTTACAATCACACATTTTAAGGGATTACGATTTTTACTCCACTAAAATTAGGATCAGTTTGCGAAGCCACGTGTAATTATCTAGCTTTATAGTTATTAGTATAGTAATTACACAATCTAATAATTACATACCTCGATAATTATACTTCCTAGAGTTTAAAATAAATAATTTTTTGATGGTTTTCATACAAATTAAGAAATCTACTTTTTAACATTAACTAGCAATAAAATTGACCATATTATCCTTTGCTATCTCTTCATATTTTTTTCATTTTATTTTATATTTGACATAATACCATTTTGGCATTTGGGATGTGATTATTATCAACTCTCACTAAACATTGAATGAAGCAAATGGGAAACGAAGCAACCGGCAGAACATTGAAAACTTTGTGAGCCTCAAACACTATTTCAAATTTTCAGCAAGAATCTCAATTTGTCATGTATTTCAATTTTAAAACGTCAACAAAATATAAAATGGAGCCAAAAAATTTCAACATTTTCCACCAAGAATTCACTTATAAAAGAAGGTTTAATTTTCTAGAATGATGAAATAAGCATGGCTACAACACAAAATAATCAAATCTCATCACATAACATAGATTTAAACATTTCTTTTGAATATGAAAACGAGTATGTTGGTAGGGAACAACTGCCTGATCTCAATGTTGACACAAATACTATTCCTAACCTCAATCTTATTCCCACAGAAGAAGGTGATACACAACAGGAAGTGGGATTGCAAGCACCACCGGAAGAACCAAACATAAGTTCTGGTAATACATGATTCTTTATTATTTAAATATGTGTACCTATTATCCGACTTACTGTTAAGACTATAATGGATATAAAGTGGAACAAATCTGCATCACAATATTGCTACTCCATCACAAACATAACGTATTACAGTTAGTATTTCAAACAATCTGCTTTTCATATATTCCTACTCCATTTGAAATGCTTAAGCCATAAGAAAATTTATATATTTCATGTTTCTAATTTTCCTCTCCTCTATTTTATTTAAAGAGATGCAGATGACGAATTTTTACAACCACAAAGGACATCAAGAAATTTAACGAAAGTTGAACGTACAGCAGCAATGGCGGATCTAGGATTTTGGGTTCCTGGGTGCTTAAATTCTTTGAGGTAAAGGTACTACACATTATATAAGTATACAACTATTTCAATACGACAGTGAAAAAAGTTAACGAGAAAACTTATATTCAATATTATGGACATCGTGAATATGTGCTAAAAATGCAATTGGCTAAAAGAAAAAAAGATTAGTAGATCTTTATTTAAGAAGATTTTTTTTCTTTGCTATAGAGCTAGGTAAGGCAAAAATAAAAATAAAATGCTAAAACCAAATGTCAGTAAAAACGAAATTAAAAAAAAGTAGTACTGGGTTAAGAAAGTGTGCTTGATAAATAAAAACGAAGACCTAATTGATCGAGGGAAATATTTATAGAAAAAAGGAGGAAGAAAGTAACATCGAATACAAGAAAAAGAAACAGTTAAAAAAAGTAGTACTGTGTTAAGAAAGAGTGCTTGATAAATAAAAAAGAAGACCTAACTGATTGAAGGGAATATTTATAGAAAAAAGAAGAAGGAAGAAAGTAACCTTGCATATAAGAAAAAGAAACAGTTTGCCCGGTTAAAGTGCTGTGCTTTTAACATCACTAAGCTTCCACCCTCTTAACCAAAGCACCCACCAACTTTTTTGTTTTCCGGGTGCTTTCTGACCTTTTATATCCATTTCTTTAAGTTTTCTATAGAATTATACCTACTCCAAGTTAAGATTAATGGGTGCTTAAGCACCAAAAATTTATATATAGATCCGCCCTGTACCGCAGTATATGAAATGCTACTACCAAAAAGTATTGATGGAAAATTAGAAAAAGGAGTGACGAAAATAGTAGCTTCAAAATTCTCAACTTCTATCCAAACAATTCAGCGCATTTGGAGACGATCAAATTATGGTGAAGGTTCTTCTGAGATGGTATATAGTAGAAAGTCAATAAGTTGTGGTCGAAAAAGAATTGAGCTTGATCAAGAACGCTTTCGTCAGATCCCTCTAAAAAATCAGACAACTTTTCTATCTCCAACTTGTGCATTGGATATGAAGAAGACCACTTTGATTAGGTGTTTACGCTCGGGAGATTTTAGGAGGCATTCAAATGTTATTAACCCGTATTTAAAGGACGAAAACAAAATAAGCCGATTGCAATTTTGCATATCGATGCTTGATGGCGGAAGCATACCACATGAACCGAAATTCATTGACATGTTTAATATTGTCCACATAGACGAAAAATGTTTTATATGACCAAAAGATCTGAGAATTAATATTTGCTACCGGATGAAGAAAATCCACTACGCACGTGCAAGAGCAAAATTTTTATAGGAAAAGTAATGTTTCTAGCGAAGGTAGCTCGCCCCCGTTTGATTCACCAGGAAAAGAACTCTTCGCCGGAAAAATTAGCGTGTTCTCGTTCGTCACACAAGAACGTGCTAGAAGAGCCAGTGCCAATAGAGCTGCAGGCACTCTAGAAACAAAACCAATAACCTCAATAACCAAAGACATCATAAGGTCATATTTGTTCGAAAAAGCTATTCCCGCTGTCAAAGAAAAATGGCCAAGAGAAGACTCAAATAATCCAATTTTTATTTGTTAAGAGCTTAGAAGATTGACAATGGAGTATTTGTGAAGAGAGAAACGAGATGAAGAACAGAGAGAGAATATTCTGGAATCTGAAAAATTATCTGTATTTCCAGTGCTCACTATTGTGTATACTATACACTTTTATATACAAATATAATACTCTTGCCTAATGCAATTAACTCCAGTTGTATGCTAGCTGTACACCTTTAATTATATCTACTAATATAACTGTCTAACTAACTATCAGTTGAACTACCCTCAATACTCCCCCTCAAGATATGTGGTGAGAACAGAATCAACATCCCTAGCTTGGATAACAAGGACTCATGCTGTGTACGACCAAGTCCCTTGGTCAGTATATCTGCCAATTGTAGGCCTGACCTAACATGTGTTGTTTCCACCAATCTTTCCTGAATTTTTTCCCTTACAAAATGACAATTGATTTCTATATGCTTCGTTCGTTCATGATAAATTGGATTTGCTGCAATTTGAAACGCAACCTTACTATCACAAAACAACTTGACTGGAAGTTTTAGTTGCAGATTCAGTTTTCCAAATAGTCCCACCAGCCAAACAACCTCTACTATGGCAGTCCCCATGCTCCTATACTCAGTTTCAGCTGAGCTTCTGGATATGGTACTCTACTTCTTAGATTTCCAAGAAATTAGAGAGTCTCCAAGTTGTACAACAAAACCACTAACTGATTTGCTTGTCATGGGGCAGGTGGCCCAATCAGCATCACAGTAAACAGTTAACTCATTGGAAACTTTGGAAGACAACAATATTCCTAATCCTGGAGCATCTTTCAGATACTTCACTACTCTTAATGTTGCCTCCATATGTGATCTTTTTTGGCAGATGCATAAATTGACTTAGGTTCTGTACTGCATAGGCTATATCAGGCCTAGTCACTGTGAGATAGAGAAGTTTTCCAACTAGCTTCTGGTAACTAGTTGCATCTTCTAGCATTTCATGTGTTGCTGATGTTCCTGTTGCAATCCCTTTGTCATAATCCACACTAGTTAGCCGCTGATTTACTCCCAATGGTGTACTAACATGTTTAGAACCTGCCAATCCAAGTGTTGAGATTAAATCTAGTGTGAACTCCCGTTGGCACACAAAAATACCATCTTTGCTCCTAGCCATTTCGAGACCAAGGAAATACTTCAATCCCCCCCCCCCCCCCCCAGGTCCTTGATCTTGAAATGATGCTTCAATAGATCTTAATTCTCCTGAATAAGGCTGGAAGAAGATCCTGTAATTAAGAAATCACATAGACAAGAATGAGCACAGTATGGTCAGCAACCTTCTTAGTAAAAAGGGAATAATCATGGCAACTCTAAAGGAAGACGGAGCTCAACAAAGCATCAGAAAGTTTCAGATTCCATTGTCGGGAAGCCTGTATCAAGCCATACAAAGACTTTTGTAACTTGTAAACTTTGGATTGATCCCCCTTGCTAGCAAAACCAGGAGGTTGTACCATGTACACTTCCTCAACCAGATCCCCTTGGTTGTAGTATAGTGGTAAGTATTCCCACCTGTCACGCGGGTGACCCGGGTTCGATCCCCGGCAACGGCGCCAAAAACTTGTTGCGACCAA